GGTGGTCCCCTGAGCCAGGTCTTCTACCAACTCCTAAGCTTTGCATTTTTTAAAAAATTCTGTTAAATCTCCTGTTTAAAGAAGTATACAATGTTCATATATCGCTTATTGTTAATATTTTTGCCACATTTAGTTTAACTTATTCTCAAGCTGTGTCTCTTGCACATGTGTGTGTGTGTTTTGTATACATAGAAATATATGCATATATATCAGGAGAAGAATGGGCAATATCTTCCTGTGCAATTGATTAACTGCTTTGGAAAACCTACCCGAGTGTCAGCTATGATTCATTTCCAACTTGGTAGCATATGTATAAACATTATATGTGTGCACTGATGTATGTGAAAGCTCCTAGAGCCTGCCTACACACAGAGATGTGGGTATATACGTGTCTGTACACACACACACACCGAGACACATATATGTCTCGATAGTGAAGTATGGGTTACAGATTGTGCTGCTGACTAAGAAAATTGATGGCTCAAGTTCACCAGTCACTCAGCAGGAGCAAAATGAAGCTGTCTGATCTCATTAAAATATAGAACCTCAGAACCCCAATAGTGGGTCACCATGAGTCAGAATCAATTTAACAGTGGATTCAGTTTTATGTATAATATACATATATTTCCCCTAAATTATGTGATAGTAAATTGAAGACGTTATGATACTGTATCACAAATACTTCAACATTCATATCCTAAGAACAAAATTATTCCCCATAGAACCATCTTCAAGTAATTGAACATTTTGGGTACCTCTATTTTTTAATCTAGAATTCATATTCACATTACTTCAGTTGTCTAATGTCCCCATTCTCTTTCCAGTTTATTTCAAAAAATAAGGTGCTTCCTGCTAACTCTTCCTGGTGGCATAGTGTGTTATGTGTTGGGCTGCCAAAAGAAAAGTCGACAGTTCGAATCTGCTCCCCGGGAAAGATGAGGCAGCCTCCTTCCATAAAGATTTAGGACTCTGGAAATCCAGGGCTGGGTCTCCATGAGTCAGAACCGACTCAAAGGCAGTGGAGTCTGTGAGGCGATGCTGGTTTCCTGGTCCCTAGGTTTTAATGCAGCAAAACGTGAGGGCTTCTTGAGCGTTCTCATCTGAAATGATGACGTTCAGGGTTTAGGAAAGTTTGATATTCTAAAATATGTTTTCTCAAAGATAAAAATTAAATTATGTTTCAATTCACATTGTTTCCATTCAAACTAATGTTTATAATGTTCAACCTTTATACTCTTGGCTTGAACTGCAAGGTCAACAGAACATCATATTCTATCATCCAGATCTACTGCATATTCAGTGGGGAGCATCATTGGCTGTGCTGGTTCTTTTGGGAGCATGGTAAAGCATGGAATGGAACATGCTAGTTACTTTGGAAGCTATGGCCTCTGGCTCTTGACTAATTCCTCACAGATTACAAAATAGGTTTGACCTAAGTGCTGGGTGGTTGTGGTGAGGAGGGAGAAGAGGAGAGGGCCAGGGTCCCATGGCATCAAGTGCTGACTTGATCCAAAGGAAGAGAACTGACTCCTGAAAGTTCACATAATGAACTATCATTGAGGGGACATCAAATGGGACCTTGACTGGTCTTGACAAGTCTTTCAATTGTATTGAAAATGGTTATCTGTCCTGTGCATCCTTCTCTCTTCTCCTTTCTAGAGTAACTTGCTATTTGTCCTGTTAACTTTTCTCTTGCATTTCCCTTAGAAGTTTCATTTTACCACTTCCTAGATATGATTCCTCTGCCCAACAACAAGGCATTTCTGTGGTACCCTTCAGGGATTAGCACAGTTGTGTACACAGTTCTGAGCATGGATGGATGAATGGGGGGGGGGAAACGTATGAGGAGATGAGATAATGGCTGGCAGGTGAAGGGTTAGATGGATAGACAAGAGGATGAACAGGTGAATGGATGAGTGGATAGACACAAGGGAAATTGGATAGAAAGATGAATTTGTTGAATGAGTGCGTGATTTAGTCTAAGGCTTATCATTCACAGACGAATTATGGTGTTGTTTTTGTTTTTACTAGAGTGGATGTTTCCCTTGCCCTGAGGAAGGATGCCCCAAAATGGGACACTATGCCGACCAATTTAAAGGGAAAACCAGTGCCGTGGGGCAGACATTTTTCCTGAACACAAGAGAGAATGGAAACTTTACCAGTGAGTTTCCATTTCATTTGTTCAAATATTACTGTAAATAATCTTGCAAGGTCTTCTAACCTTGTTGGTAAGTGATTGTGCTAAAACCATATTTGCTGCTTCTGAATCCCATGCTCACCTAGAAGTAGATTCCTGAGCCCCAGTTTCACTGACAGGACCATTCACCACATTTCTCCTTTTCCTCTCAACCATGGGAACTCAGAGCTTAGGATAATAATATTTTCATGTATTTCTATATTCGTGTAGATACATATGTATACCTGTAAGTGCTCACAGAATGACCTAGGTCTTGGCTTCTTACCTTCAGCCCCAGTGACATTTGAGACCAGATAGCTAGTTGTCATAAGGAGTTGACCTGTGCATTCTAGAACATTTAAAGCATCTGTGGCCTCTCTGTTCTCACTACATGCACTACTGGCACCCCAGGACACCCCACCCCAGCTGTAACAGCAAAAGGATCTCCAGGCATTGTCAAATGGCCAGTGTGGAGCAAATTCACCCCCAGTTGACAACATTAGCCTGGATTAAGGGTAGCTGTCAAAGAAAAACCCTCGATGGGAATGGACAGAAAGGGGATGTGCTAGTCAAGAAAAAGGGGTTGACTTTATCTGTGCTATTTTATCTATGACACTAAGTCAATTACATGTGAAAATAGGAAAAAACTAAGTGAGAGAGCAAGAGTGAGCTAGGTGATTAACTAGGTGGTGGCGTCACAAGCGTCCCTGCTCCATGTGGCCTTTTCATGTACTGATGTCCATCAAGGAGAAACAAGACCAGCAGGCACCACTCTCCACCCAACAGGACACAGCCTTGCTGTATTAGTAAGGGATTATTCAGAAGTCTACCATCAACTTCCCAATGAGGTCTTAGTTCCACTTACACCTGAATTCCTGAACCCCTGAATTCATGAAAGGAAACCATAGGTCACTTTCCCCCTTTCTTCTCACCTCTGGGGGATCTAAGGATGGTGAGATTTTGTCTTACTTATTTTGGGTATATCATCAGGAGGTGCAGGTTCAAGGAGAAAGCAGAGGTAAAGTAGAAAGTGAGCAAGGAAAGGGAAGGCATTTGGTCAGATGATTGACACAGTGGCTGAATAGTGGGCTCAGGCACAGCAGATCCAACAAAGTTCTGTCCTGTTGCACATGGAGTCACCGAGGGTCAGAGCCAGCTGCATGCATGACACAGAACAAGAGCCTGGACAGTCAGAGCCTGGAGCAAGAAGACCTCCAAGGGCTCCTTGCTCAGCAGGGCGTGTTAGTTAACTAATTGCATTTCTTTAAACAGGTTGGCGATACAGGGTGTCGGTCACTCTCGCTGGGAAAAAAAAAGTGAGTGGATACATCAGGATTGCTTTGTTTGGAAGCAATGGAAACTCAAAGCAATATGAAATTTTCAAGTAAGTCAGATATTAATGTGAAGTGAACATACTTTCTATAATAGATTCT